ATTTACAGTGGGGTCACCTGCCCCACAATAAATCTTAAAATTCAAGATGTATTTGAGCCACATTATTTTGGAAGAATGTATTTTGGAATAGTAGATTTATGAAAATTTTGTGGTTCAAAAAGAATGAAAAGTTATTGATGTGATAGAAAATATTATTTTATTGAAAAATATGTGGTTGAAAATGAGTAGAAGAAATAGAATGAAAATTTTAATGTGTACCAAACAGAGGTTGAAAGACTCAACTTCATTGGCTTAAATTTTAGGTAAACGTCTTTGTGACATAATAATGTAATAGATATTGAATAAAAAGAAATAGCGTGATGTCAATAATAATATAAAGAATCAAACTACTCTTATCGAATTAATCTACTCCCAACAAATATGTAAGTAGTGAGACGATCAAGAATCTCAAAGTCTCACTCCAGATAGTCCATGACTATCTCATGAATTATGATACTTGCGTGATACTCATATTTCAAAGTAGGACAAACAAAGTCATCCTATTCTAACGGGAGATTGTCTTCGAAGTCACAAAATATCATCAACTTGAAGTCTTGATCTACATGTGTGTATATTTTGTTTTTGTGGTGGGACTTATAAGCTGGCCAAACATGTAGTATATTGCAATAACATGTTTGGCTAAGCTTAAAACATGCTCAAAAGCACTTTTTTAAAGTATCACCTCACACGGTGTCAAGAAAAGATGCTTTTAAGCACCCCTGGCGAACATGCTCATCGATATACTAGTAAGGTTGTGATGTGATAACCTATTTGATAAATGGACGTGTCACAAATTCTTTAAAGATTACTTCTCGATACAACTTTTATTTTAATAAATGTACAGTATTAGTGGTATGCATAGTTCAGATAACTTGTGATTTATATCTCAGATCTTTACAGAACCTATTCTTGGAAGTGCATGAATGTTGAGGCCTCCTTTTATATGAAGTGTAATCATGGTTCTGTAAGTCACGTTCTCAGTGTTATTCTCTAATTTGAACCGGAAGAAGTGGACAAGAGCTGCTGATACTATCTTCATTTGCCTATAAGCAAAATCTTTCCCCAAACAAGTTCGAGGACCGGCCTGAAAATCGAAACAACCAAAATATTACTTGTTGAAACAAAAAAATTAAATAAGTAATTCTCACAAAAGAATGGCTCCGAAAATAATTGTTTACACATGTAGGAATATCAGGACGACCTAATGCATGTACACTATGCACGAAAATACACTTATTGAATTGCCACCAATTGTGCATGTCACGCATTTATTAAAAGTAGTTTGCGTGTGAGGAGCGTGTTAAACAAGCTTTTAAATGAGACAGTTCTACTATACTAAGCGCCAATCGAGTAAATACTCATGTTGTAGCTATAAGTATATTGCTAAGAGAAGAGAAGCTGCTTACATTGAATGCTACGAATTTGAAGGGTGATTCAGGTTGAAAGATCCCATTTTTAAGCCATCTCTCAGGCCTAAAATCTTCAGCATCATCTCCCCAAATGTAATTCATTCTGCCCATTGCATAGGCCATGTAGTATACACCATCTCCTTTCTTCAGTTTGAATCCATCTGGGAGAGTGTCATCTGTTTCTGTGCACCTCCCATCCTATGAACAGAAAGTAAAGAAATGGGATCATTATGAACATGAGACTAAGACGATAAATATGTTCTGTTATTTGTTTCGTACCATAAAGCATGTTTAGAGAATTTTTTGATAATTTATCCTGTCTCTTATGGTTTAAACTTAATCTTTTATACCAGGTGGTTCTACGCGGTCTCATAGGAGACAGGTTTAAGTTCAAGCCACATCGCCACCCAATGAATTGGATTTTAACTTATTTTTCTTCTTTAATCCTGTTCACTACTGTCCAGTTGAATGTAAAAATTTACGTCAAAAGATCTTGAAATAACTTACCACAGGGACTGCAGGGTAAAGCCTCAAGGTTTCAGTCAATGCTGCGTGAAGGTAATGCATGTCTTCAAGTGCTTCATCAGTAATACGTTCCACAAAATCGTCGACAGTACTAGCTTCATTCCATGGAGTACTACTGCTAATTTCTCCCACTTCTTTTGCAATTTTTTCGTGGATAATCGGGTTCTTGCAAAGCATATAAATAAACCAAGAAAGAGTGTTAGCAGTTGTATCTTTGCCTGCAATCATGAAGCTGAGAATAATATCCCTTAGATATTGATTGGTCATCCTCTCTGGATTCTTTTTGCTTTCCTCCAAGAATCTTGAAAGTATGTCCTTGTCATTCTTCAATCAAACATTAATGTTAGAAAATCCATACTTGCAAGAAAGTAATTATTAGTATTTTATGGTCGTCGGGCAAAATTTCTTGTGGGTTTTTCTAACATTTTCTTCTTGGAAAAGATTTGTGTGAGATTGTGTAATGAACTTGTGAGTTTTGTATAACTCATGGTAAGGTTGAGTTTTACCCAAAGTCCTCGTTTTTGCAAGCTGCATTCATTTCTCGACAAATATATTGTCTTAAAATAAAACACTTACACAATGCTGTTGCATTTCCATTTGTCTTCTCTTAGTACTGATCAAAGCATCAACAAAATTGTGGATGGATTTGATGTTCTTCTTGAGGGTTGCTTCACTGCCAATGTTTAGATACTGCTTAAGCTTCCAAAATGGATCTGCATAACGCCAATATGTCAATTCATTTGAATCATCAAAAGCCCTTATGAATTCACTTCCCTCTTTGTCTGATCCTTCCAGGCAATTTAAGTCCACTCCAAAACCAACTTTGAATATAGAGTCCAAGGTGTATTTCATTAACAAACCCTGCAAAGAATCGTAGTCCAGTCATGAATGTTAGGATAAAGCCATGGTCCGAGTTAAATCGAAGTGAAAATAAGAAATGCACACACAAATTTATACTGGTTCACCCTTATCGTGAAAACTCTATCAAATTGCCATGGGTTTTTCACTATCAAGAACAAGACTAGCCGAATAGGGTGTCAACCCATGTAGGCGCAACCCACAGTTTTTGTTGTGGTTTCCACTTCTTCTTCTTTTCGGTTTTGGTTTTTTTTGTTATTTTTTAAGAAATAAAATGGCCCGAGTGAGCCAGCCAGGTATGTCCTTACAGACGGACAAGCCTACAGCCATACCAAATAAGTTTTGTGGCTCAAGCCTGAGTGACCCGACCCTGTCTTCACCTCTAATGAAATATTGAAGAATATTTGATTGAAAAAAATGAAACAGAACCAAATAAGGAGCCTACTTATATATAGTTTTTCTTCATTAAGTCCTTATTTCTCCCCATAAAATAAGTCAATTATAAATTTGGGCCAATCTGACTAAAATTGTAGACAAAACAGTCTAACTGAAACAAAACATCAGCCTAGTAGTTGGAAACGAAGGTATAAATTTAGGCTTATTTTTAAAAGTTTCTTATCCAAAAAGGGCAACCATCACATATTCTCCCCTACCCTACCCCACCATATCCCACTCCACTCCACTCCACACAACAAATTAAACACCAGAACATAACCATCTTAATAAATTTGAAATCCATTAATTACATGAATTCTTTTTGGTCACTGAACCACCGTTAAATCTACTAGAAGATCCTCTAATATAACGTGTTGCTAATAGGGGACTCTCGAATGAAATATGCAGTAAGATTTATGATGACAAACTTTTAAATTGATTGTTTACCTACTGTAACCTTAGTCTTTTGCCTTTGCAACCATTTGTATACTCAAATAATCATAGGATCATAAATAACTTACTTGTACATCAAAGGCTTGTTTGGTCAGAGCCAACCCATGAACAAGTCTAACCAATTTTGCAGTCTTTTCTCTAAAAATTCTGCAACTAAAATCCCTCAAAACCCTAGTTGAAAACTCAGAACTCGCCAGTTTCTTCTGCTCCTTCCACTTATCCCCATCCACTACAAAAATCCCACTGCCAAACAAGTCATGGAATATTTCTTGATTATACTCACCTTTGGAGTACTTCCAGAAATTAGTTTTAAGAATATGCTCAATATTTCTGATATCAGTTGTGTATATTTCACTTTGATTTGGAGCCAGAAGCCTGAAGCTGCGATGTCTTTTAGCCATTTCTGTTTGTTGATCATAGACTCTGTTGAAGTAGAAGAGTTGATCAAATACAGTTCCAACTACTGGTGGATAATTCTTGTTGAAAATTGATTTTCCAATGAAGATTCTGAGTATGAATAGTGAAAAGAGTGTGAAGATGAGTAGAAGTGCAGTTGCTATGTAGGAGAAGAGGGTGTAGAGGATTTCCATGTTTGGAGAAGTTTGTGTTGGATAGGTGTGTCATTCTTTATCAGTCCTATAATATTTATATGCACATTGATATATAACTTTGTTAAAATTTCATTAACTTTTTTATTTGTCAAACTTAAATTTTAATTCCACAATTTTTATCAAAATTTGCCAAAACTTTTTATCAAAAGCATTATCAAACAACCCTATATACTTTTGTAAGACGTAAATTACCTCAACTAAAATTTAATTATTCTCGTGGTTGAACTTAGGGTTGAAAGAAACCAAGCGTAGTTTTAGGAGGGTAGATGTGATAATTCGAGAAAAATCCAATTTAAGATTAATTTTGTGTTGAGAATTTATACATTCTTCGTTATTCTTCTTAATAATTTAAGTTTTTAGACGAAATGATTCAATATAATATAGAGCATAAAAAAACCTTAAAAAGATAGGAAAGGTTTCTGATTTGTGTATAATATTATTTTAATGAAAAATGTGTGGTT